TTAGGTGAAATCTACAAGAGAGGATTTAACAACGGGATTTATTTTTGTAATGAGACAGTTGGAGAATTTGGAGATTTCGTTTCTTCTCTTTTTCTTTATTTTTATCAACCCCATTCTTTTCACACCTTTCACAATACTTACTAAAAACCCAACCGATTTCTTTATCTTTACCACATTTTTTACACCTGCGAAAGAAAAGAATAATTACTAAAATCAATAAAACAATATTAATTGTTATTGATATTGCTAACCCTATCACAAACATTAGCCTCAATACTCTAAAAGACCAATATAGCAAATATCTCTCTGCTTTCGTAAAACTTCAAGATACTCCTTGGTTATTTGGCTCATATCTCAACCTTGTTTTCAACCAATATCCACCTGGTCGCTAAACCATTCTAAAAAATTATCCAACTGTTCCTCGGTCGTTTCTAGTTTTTGTTGTAATGCTTTTTGCTGCTTTTTAATGTTGTTTATCTTTCATAAAAAAGAATAAGCAACTTGATTTATCTTTCGCCTTAATTCTGCTGGGTTTATTTCTCGCTCTATCTGTTTATTTATTATATTCTTACAATCAATAATATTCATTCTGTTTTTTATTTACACTAATTAATTAAACCTTTTTCCTCAAAATCTCCCTCGGTCTTTTTTGCTTCAACGCAACCTCCACAAATCTCACCTTCTCCTTCATCTCAACAAGTCTTACAATATTTACCTCGGCAATCGCTTTCACAGCGGTTTATCCTCTCACAACCAGCCTCAACAGCATTCTTATTACAACCATCGCAAAGACGGCAAAATATACAAATCTCACTATCCTCATCGCCTCAATGGCTACAACTATAACAAAAATATTCCTTACACTCTTTACACTCATAAAAATCGTTTTTATCTTGGCTTTCAGTTTCACAATTATTAAAATTGCTACACCGAAAACTACCAAACTCACTTTCGCCTTTTTTTATTTCTTCGTTATACTTATTCATAAGTCTTAATTTTTCTTTATATTAAGTCTGTTTCCAGCACTGCTAGCACTACTTCAACTTTCTTTTTCGCTGTGTTAATTCCAATGTTGTCTCGTAATTCTAAATCCAATCGCTTCGTATATTCTTTATCAAAACTGTATTTATCTAAAAAATAACTAAATGCGTGGTTGGCACCCTCACGAAAACCTTTTTCTCATTCATTTTTTATCGGTTCTCCACCATGTCTTTCTCAAAATCTTTTATCTGCTCCGTGGTCATATCTATTAACCACTCTAAATAATTTATTAGAATGCTTTTTATAATCGTCTCTATGGGTGTGATTTTCTACAACCTCATTTAATTTTAATCCCACTTCTCTTAATTTTATAAAATCACTTTCTAAAATTGTTATTGTATTTTCCTTCGTATCTTCGCTTTTTATTCCTGCTATCATAACTTTATATTTCTTGCTTTGTATTATAACCTTTTAACGTCTTTTTTTATCGTTTTTTCTACTGACCTATCCCAGTCAAAATTACGAGGGAGATGACCGTAAAAAATATTATCCTCAACCAAATCTCCAAATTCTCCAACTGTCTCATTACAAAAATAAATCCCGTTGTTAAATCCTCTCTTGTAGATTTCACCTAA